GGTATACAAATAAAATCAGTATAAACAGATTAAAACAATAAAAACAATAACAACTAACACATGTACTATGCTGCCTTTCTGCCCAATAGACCATTTGCTATTAATAGATTTTAACAGATTATATTTTTTAAACTATGTGAAGTTTAATTATTTTTTAAGAGGGGGGGGTAAGATATATGATCATGTACTGTTATTATGTATTGTTTTGATTTGTTTTAACATTGCTATTATAGTAGAAAAGCGGAATACAAATAAAATTAATAATAATAATAATAATAACAACAACAACAACAATAATTTAAATAGGCTAAAACATATTAAACATGTTACAACAGGTTAAAAAATTTAAAAGTCTTTAATACCATGTGCATAAACATTTTAGACTGAATCACTTAGATACCCAAGGCTTTAATAAAACATCCATGTTTTTACTTAGCACTGAAATGAAGGGCCTTTGCAGACTGCTAGAAATAGTGCAAATTGAGTCCACTTCAAGGGTTGGGGGTTAGGGTTAGGGAATCATGGGAACTGTATTTTATTGTGGCACCAGAGCTCTCTGACAGAGAAGGCTCAATGTCTCAGGGGGGAAAAACAATTCCCATGATTCCCTAGCACTAACCCTAACCATTAAAGTGGATTCAATTTGCACTATTTCTGGCAGTTTGCAAAGGCCCGAAGTCACTATTGGCACTGATGGAGAGTTTTCCACAACTGGGTTGCCACAGTTGAGAAGGCCCTCTCCTATGTCCACACAGTGTTTTGAACTCACCCAAGGTACACACAGGAGACCCCACCCCAGTCCTCAGACCTCAGTCCTTGAACAGATATATATATATATATAGGGAGAGCACTCTCTCAAGTATTGAGGACCAAAATCTATAAATCCAATAGAAATACTACACAATTAAGTCATTACTGGTTTGATAGTGTTAAAATAATTGTTTTAATATAAAAAAAAACTCTTTGTAGGTCTCCTGCCATGGCTCTAGACTAGAGGAGCCCAACTGTCATGGATCCAAAGCAAGGAGCTCGCGTAGGCACCTGAAAAGTCACGTTTGCACATACAACAATTTGCAAATCAAAAGGGCCAGGCTGAGGAGCTGCAAAGCAGGACATCTGCATCCAGGAGATTCATGAGTACTAGCCAGGATGTGTCTGGCTGAAGATGAGATAACATTAATATCCCATCTCCTCTCCTTGGAAATTGTCTACTTCAAAGAGTACTAATCCAGAACCCTTTGATATACAATAGCAACTCTTCACCTCAGGCTAGGTTTAAGGGTATAAAGGATCCCCAAAATCTCAGGCACATTGGGTCTCATTGGATTTCATGGTGACACTGCCCCACTGTGAACTATGACTTGGGTCCTGGCTCTTACCATTGTTCTTTCCTCTCATCTTCATTCATCACTGGAGCAGCCTCCTTCAGATAATTATCACCATTAGAAAGTCTTCTGTTCCCTATCCAAGCTACCTACTTTATTCCTGAGTTCTTGTGTGCATGAGTGAATGCTAGAGTGTCTTTGTATGTCTGAATCCCCATATAAACCAAAAGTTCATTGAAAAGCTTTTTTTCTATCAATCTATTCCCTAGTCACCTCTCTAAACATAGGATAAAAGATCATATTGGAGACTTGGATTTTCGTAATTCCTCAGGTTCAAGTTCTTCTTACAATAGTGTATTCAACACTCCCCCACCTCAGTATACCACAGGAACAAGGCAGAAGCTGGGGAAAGTGACAAGGTATTATTTTTCTTGTTTTAAAAAACAGGTAAAAAGACAAAATGCTCTGCTATGTCTTGAAATATGGAATACAACATGCAAGTGGCAGAAAAGAACAGATTTTAATCAGCCTTCCTGAAAGACACCAAAAATATTTCCATACTTGACAGGACACAAATAGAGCTGCAAAACAGGTGTGGGACAGAGATGTAATTTAGCCACTCTTTAGGTATAACCATTCAATTGAAATGTGATGTTGGCTATATGCAGTCTAAAAAGCCATCATCCTGTGCAAATGTTTTGTGTGTGTGTGTGTGTGTGTGTGTGTGTGTGTGTTTTACTAATTGTACTATCTCATCCAAATGAAGTGTTAGCATTCCTATTAATTCTGACCTGAACAATGCACCAGAGATTTGCTAACACAGCATGCAGTGTCTAGGTCAGCACATAAGCCCCAGGGCAAAACAAGTGAATGTGGAAAGTCTCAATAACAAGCCTTTTCTAGGATACTCTATTCCATTCCCTCTCCCCCTTCTGTTTATTGCCCCATCCCTGAAACAGTCAACCCCCCCCCACAATCTTTATTACTCCTAAGCATGCTCAGTCCTCACTGAGATTGTGTCTACAGCACAGAAATAATCCAGTTTGACACTGCTTTAACTGCCCTGGCTCTGTGGTATGGAATTCTGAGATTTGTAGTTTGTTGTGGCACCAGAACTCACTGACAGAGGAGGCTAAATATCTCACAAAACTACAAATCCCAGAATTCCATAACTTTGCACCATGACAGTTAAAGCGGTGTTAAACTGCATTATTTCTTCAGTGCAGATGCAGCCTGCGTTATTTGGATATTCATGCCCCCCTTTTCTTCTACTAAATTTTCTGACACTGAGTTTACAATTAGTATATATGGTCCTAATGAATGGTGTGGGGTTTTTTAAATCCTGAATGAAAAATACTGCAAAGAGAAAGCAATTGGCACATTTCCTGGATTCATTAAGAAACAGAGAACTGGTGAGGAAGAGACAGATGGGACTGGAAGTGTCCAACATTTTCTTATCTGGGTTTTTGTAATTATACATCATTAGCAGCATCATGAATGCTCATGTTTTACATCTATCAGGAATGCTTACCAGCAACTTCCCTCGGCTGAGAATGCCAGTCAAGTTCTTCTTAGCATCGCTCATTTTGGGCTCATTTTTTTCCAGTAATGGGATGGCGTCCTTAATTTTAGCAAGGTTTTCTTTTAAGCAAAGCTCCAGCAGGGCCTCTGCCACAAGTAGATTCCCATAGTCTTCTGTAAGATATAATGGAAGGAATAAAGAGAAGTCACACTGGTGTCATGTTCCCATATATAGCAGGCCACAAAGATAAACTCAGAACCCAAGCCAGTATATAAACATTCCTTTTAAAAAGGAAGTTTCAACACTGAGTGCAAAAGTCAGCCATCTGAGAAGCTACTAGCTTAAATTATGCTTAACTGCTCATTTGAAGGTTTTGCAGTTTGCCAGTACTGTACCAAGCATACTGGCTTCTATTTTGCGGTCACTATGATTATTATTGTTGTTGTTCTTGTTATTATATTTATATTCTGCTTCTATTCCAAAGTTGGAACTCAAAGCAGCTTACCATTTTAAAAATGCAATTAAAAACAAACAAAAGTGAACATTAAAATAGAATTAAACTGCTACAGTATTAAAACACATCTGTATCCATGGATTTCTTTTATCTATGGACTCAAGCATGGTTTGAAAATATTTAAAAATATATAAATTTTAGAAAGCAAACCTTGATTTTGCCATTTTATAAAAGGGACACTATTTTATAATGCATTGTATTTAATGGGACTTGAGCACCCACGTATCCATGGGGGGGCGGGGTCCTGGAACCAAACCCCAGCAGACACCAAGGGCACACTGTACTTTTTTAAATGAGTCATGAAAGGCTATGGAACGCCCTTAAAGACATGGGAGTGTCAACACATCCGACAGTCCTAATGAGGAATCTGTACTCAGGATAAGAGGCTACTGTCAGAAC